GACATTCACGCCGACCAGATCGTTGACTCCCGAGCTGATCAGCTCGCCGTCGCACCGACCAGGTCGCCGACTCCCGCGCCGACCAGCTTGGCGGCTCCCTCATTGACCAGGTGCACCGACTCCCGCGCCGACCAGCTCGCCGACTCCCGCGCCGACCATCACCCCGCCGCAGTAACGAATTTCGTGACATGTTCGTTGCGTCTTGCATTTCTTTCTTTCTCCGAGCCGGTGTCGAGGACTCCCGCAGCGACCGGCTCGCCGATTCCTGGGCCGACCTGCTTGGCTTTCCAGCGCCGGCCAAGTCGCCGACTCCCGCGCCGACCAGTTCATCGACTCCCTCGCCGACTTGTCGACTCCCGTGCCGACCAGCTCGCCGTCGCACCGACCCGGTCGCTGACCTTCGTGTCGACCAGCCTGGCGGCCCCCTCACCGACCAGCTCGCCGACTCGCCGACTTTCGCGCCGACCAGCTCGCCGACTCCCGCGCCGACCATCGCACCTCCGCAGCAGCGAAATCCGTGACGTTTTTGTTGCGGCTCGCATTGTGGTGTGATTTTTTTTTCCGAGCCGGTGTCGAGGACTCGCGTCGAGGACTCGCGTCGCCGACTCCCGCGCCGACCAGCTCGCCGATTTCCGCGCCGACCTGCTTGGCGGCTCCCGCGCCAGCCAAGTCGCCGACTCCCGCGCCGACCAGTTCAGCAATTCCGCGCAGACCAGCTCGTCGACTCCCATGCTTGCCGTCGCACCGACCAGGTCGCTGACCCTCGCGTCGACCCGCTTGGCGGCTTCTGCACCGATCAGATCGCCGAGTCCCGCGCCGACCAGCTCGCCGACTCCTGCGCCGACCATCGCACCGCCACAGCAACGAATCTCGTGACGCTTTCGTTGCGTCTCGCATCGTGGAGTGATTTATTTCCTCCGAGCCGGTGTCGAGGACTTCCGCGCCGACCAGCCGGCCGATTCCCGCGCCGACCAGCTTGGCGGCTCCCGCGCCGGCCAAGTCACCGACTCCCGCGCCGACCAGTTCAGCGTTCCTGCGCCGACCAGCTCGTTGACTCCCATGCTGACCAGCTCGCCGTCGCACCGACCAGGTCGCTGACCCTCGCGTCGACCAGCTAGGCGGCTCCCGCACCGACCAGTTCGCTGGGTCGCGCGCGGACCAGCTCGCCGACTTCCGCGCCGACCATCACGCATTTTCTTCGCGTCTCGCATTTTTTTTTTGTTTCTCCCCCCCCGATCCCGTTTCGAATGCTGTCGCGGCGACGCGCTCGACGATTTCCGCGTCGCCTGCTTGGCGGCTCCCGCACCGACCAGCTCGCCGAGCCCTGCGCCGACCAGCTCGCCGACTCCCGCGCCGACTGCCGCGCCGCCGCAGCAACGAAACTCGTGACATGTCCTTTGCGTCTCGTTTTTTTTTGTTGTTTCTTCTTCTTGCTCCTCTTCTCTCCGAGCCGGTGTCGAGGGCTCCCACGCCGACCAGCTTGCCGATTCCCGCGCCGACCTGCTTGGCGGCTCCCGCGCCGGCCAGTTCACCGACTCCCGCGCCGACCTGCGTGGCGGCTTCCGCGCCGGGCAAGTCACCGACTTCCACGCCGACCAGTTCAGCGACTCCCGCGTCCACCAGCTCGTCGACTCCCGCACAGACCAGCTCGCCGTCGCACTGACCAGGTCGCTGACCCTCGCGTCGACCAGCTTGGCGGCTCCCGCACCGACCAGCTCGCCGAGCCCCGCGCCGACCAGCTCGCCGACTCCCGCGCCGACTGCCGCGCCGCCGCAGCAACGAAACTCGTGACATGTCCTTTGCGTCTTGCGATGTGGCGTCATGAATTTTCTCTGTGCCGGCGTCGCGGATTCCCGCGCCGACCAGCTCGCCGATTCTCGCGCCGACCTGCTTGGCGATTCCCGCGCCTGCTGCGAGCGCCGCGCCGCCGTCGGTGCGCAGGGGGGGCTCCGCCTCCTGCCGGAGGGTGTCCCACGATAGTGCGGCCCAGTGCATCGGCAAGGACTTGGGGCCTTGGGACTGGGAGCGCGAGCAAAAACAAATACAGTGCATTCTGCGAGAAGGTTCTGGCGTTTGGAAAATCCTTAGCATTGCGAGCAATGCTAAGGAGCAGCGACTGACTTGCGCCAGAACAGCGCAGGGGTTGAGGTGTCGGACAGACAGGGCATCGCAGACGCATCTGGGGTTTTCTGTGAAGATTCGCACTCCAGAAGGCACTGCCCCAATAGGAGGGGAATTCGTCGTCATTTGTTGGCGCGCAGTTAGATATCCAGGAGGCTCGCGCCATTCCGCCGTCGTCATTTGCAGGCGCGCGATCAGATGTGCCGCCTGTCGCGACAGGAGAGGTCAGAACCCGGGTCAAGTCATTGAAAACAGGCAGAGCGTCGGACTCGGCTGGCATAGTCGCACAGATGTTCAGAGCTGGTGGTTCCTATATTCTTGAAGTGCGTGCCCGCGTTTGCGCGAGCATTGTGGCCGCCGGGGAGAGCCTCCGCAGACGCGGAGGTGCACCTGCATCGAAGTGCTGCTCAACAGTGGCGATCAATTGCCGACCTATCTCGATTCTTCCGATTCTTTATAAACTGTTCATCGTGCCGTTACATGGCCGACTTATGCCGTACCTTGCAGAGCAGAAATCGGCGGGCCAAGCTGGGTTTCGAAGGGGCTGTAGCTGCGACAGCCATATTTATCGACGCTTGTTTCGTTGCACGAGAATATGTGAGAATTACTTGGACCTCTGGGTGGCTGCGGTGGATATCGAGGAGGCATTTGATTCTGTCATCCACGCCTCACTGTAGACATCCCCGTGCGAGCAAGGCGTGCCGGACTCGCGCGCCCGAGTGTTGCGCAACTTGCGTGAGGAGCAGACGGGGCAGATCGTGTCTGATCGCGCGAGTCGCGTTTTTTGGTTGGAGAGGGGAACAAAGCAAGGGGATCCAATGAGCTCCATTATTCTCAATGCTTTGCTGGAATCAAGTACGCGTGATCTCAAGGAGAAGTGGGTGAAACTCGGGGGCAAACGTCTCACGAACCTCGGGTTCGCTGATGACAGTCTGTTGATCGGTAGAAAGCGCGCGTAGGTGCGGCACATGCGCGAAGACTTATCAGTGCGGGCTGGACAGGTTGGGCTTGAGCAGCACATGGGGAAGACAAAGATCCTGTCCAACGTTGTTGTCCCGAGAGGGGCGTTCGCGTAATCGCGCTTGGATGTCGGCGCGGGCAGGGTGGAAGTGTTCCCAGTGGACGGAAGCGTATAATACCTCTGGCGCAAGCTGTGTCTCCACGGGTTTCACGATGTCGAAGTGCAAAATTACCTTGCGAAGGGATGGGGGGCCTTCGACAAATCAAGTCTGTGCTGTGTAACGTAAGCATGATAGGTTGCGGTTCTGGCTTCGCCTGTTTGACACTGTTGCATCGTCAGCGGTCCTCTACGGAAGCGGCTCGTGGACCATGGCGGCGGCGAGGGGTTCCAATCATAATTTCGGGCGATGCTCTGGATAATCGTCACGAAGCCACCGATGAGGTCTGTCTCTGCGGCTGGCGTGGACGAGCCATGCGTGGATTGGATTGGCCGTGCAACCCGGAAAGCTGCAGGGGAATTCGAGGAGGCGGGTTTAAAGACATGGGTCCAATTGCAGAAGCTTCGTGAAGCTGCCCTGCTGCAGAAGACGGTCGGCAGCACCTATGGCAGGAGGTCGGAGGCATCGCCGGTTTTTTGGCGCCGGCCGGTGGCGGGCGCCGTGCCGCCTGGTGAAACGCTGGACAGACGACATCATCACTTAAAGTTCATGAGTTGGGATGTGTGAGAATCGGTGAGTCTGCTCGCCGGAAGCCCGTGCAGGGCGCTCTCCGCTGCGCGCGCCGGCCTCCCGCAAGCCCCTCCCGCTCCTCCCCAGACTGGGCGGACCCGCCTGGCCAGCGGACGCGCCGCCGTCTCCCCCTTCTGGCCCTTGGTGCCTCCTCGCCGATTCTGCGACGCGGAAGAAGCGGTCCGAGGAGAGGAGCAGGAGCGCTTTCGGGCCACGGACCTCGCCCGTGCCGCCCGCCTCCGGCAGAATGGAGTCGCACAACACCTTGTGGAAGTCCGCAATGGCGTAGCGGAGCGCCTCCAGGACGCTCGAGATGGTGCCGCACCTTTCGTAGAGGCTGTCCCAGCTGACGTCGTCCCAGAATTCCATGCGCTGGAGTCCTCCATGAGGCACTGGCCCATCGTACTGCACCAGCGCTGCTGCAGGCCGCGCCTGCGGCGGCGCCGCACCCGCAGGCAGTGCCCCGGTTCGCATGCCCGCGGCCTCCGCTGCATCAAAAGCTGCCTGCGCCTCCGCGCGCTTCTCCATGGAGGGGTGCGCCCACCCGCTCAAGCCGTCAGGTGGCCCGCGCTGGCAAGCGACGCAACCAATGTGGTAGACCCGCGCCCCAGGGCCTCCGCGCCGAACCCGGGGAGTGCGTGCCGGCACCTCCCCATGGCAGGTGGCGC